TATTTAAAAAAGCGCTGCATAATTTGGAATGGGGCGTGAAAATTAATGGAATTCTGATAAATACAATTAGACATGCAGACGATACAGGTGTTTTAAGTGACGACATAAATGGATTACAATGCCTTTTAAATGCCATTGATAAAGTGAGAAGAGAGTTTGGCCTAAACATAAACTGTTCAAAACAAAACACATGGTGTTTTAGCCGTTTAGCACATCAAGATGCACGATTATATATTGATGGTCATATAATTCAAAAGAGTGTCCAGTTTTAAATATCTTGGTTGCCATATTACTGAACAACTAGATCCAGATCAAGAGATAAAATGTAGAATCGAGATAGCCCGCACGACATTTTTAAAAATGAGGTCATTCTTCTGTAATGATAACTAGCAACTTCATCTTCGAAAGCGCATGGTTAAATGCTACATTTGGTCAGTCCTCTTATATGGTGTCGAAGCATGGACATTAAAAATATCCACCATTAATCGTCTGGAGACCTTTGAAATGTGGGTGCACAGACGTATACTAAAAATTCCACAAACAGCTATGCTGACAAATGTGGCAGTCCTTGAGAGAGCAAATGATGCTAGCGAGCTGCTTGATAACATCAAATGTAGAAAGATGGCCTATTTTGGACACATAGTAAGGGGAGACCGATATAATATTCTTCAACTTATTATGATGGGTAAAATCGAAGGACGCAGAGGAATTGGTAGAAAGCAGGCCTCTTGGTTGAAGAATATCAGGGAGTTTACAGGAATAAAGAAAGCTGAGCAACTATTTAGAATAGCTTGAGAGAGAGAGACAGTTTCGCCATGTTAATCGCCAACGTCAAGGGGACTTGATAGGGCACGTTAAGAAGAAGAAGAAGTTTAGATATGTTAGTGTTTTAATCACTGGGCATTTTGACCGCAACCTCACGAATCTTTAGAAGTTTGATAGATGCACTCACCAGCACGAAAACTGAGCACTTGCATTTTGAAAATTAAAACTTAAATTTCTAATTCCCTCTAAACTGTTATTATAGTAATATAAACACAAGCGAAACAAACTGTTTTAAGTAATTTCCAATAAAACTTAAGTGTTCATCCGAAAAAAAAAATCATAAAAAATCAGCAACAAAAAGTACTCTAAAAAAATCACTTTTAAAAGTGAAAAGGTAGCTGTTGGTATTCTATTGTTATTCTTTTGTTCTTTTGATGTGAGTAAACTGTCTGTGCGAATCAAGTGGAAAACAACATTTTAAGATGAATGGCGTTGATTTAATCTCAAGAATTATGTTTGTAAATCCCAAAACAGCGGGTGCTATAGTTGCATTGCTTCAAGACGGAAGAAGTCAGCGATATGTTGCCCAAAAGTATCAAATATCAAATAGTACTGTACACCGTATTTTTACACGTTTCTTAGCAACCGAAGCTTACACTAGATGATCTGGAATCGGTTCCCAACGAAGAACTAGTGCCCGTGATGATCGCTTCCATCCTCAAAGTCTAAGAGAACGTCATGCCAGGGCTGTACAAATGCGAAATCAACTTAAGTACGTCTGGAATACTAACGTAATTTAACGAACAATTGGACGAATGCTCGGAAAAGCAAATTTAAGCAGTCGTAGACCTCAATCACGGTGTGGGCTGGGATTTCTAGAGGTACGTATATCGTTCCGAGAGGCTCCATAACAGCTGCCGGGTACATTGATGAAATTCTCCAAAATTTTGTTGTGCCTTATGCTGGTTTTGTTGTAAATGACTTTGTTCTGGTGCATGATAATGTCAAGCCTCATAGTGCGAGAACCACTCAACAGTTTTTAAATGAAGTAAATGTTTACTGTAATGGATTGGACAGCATTAAGTCCAGACACAAACCCAATTGAACATGTTTGGGACATGCTTGGACAAAGAATACCAAGTCGTGTTCCTGCCCCTTTAACCTTAAATCAGTTACAAGAAGCTCTTTTAGAGGAATGGGAACTTATTTCTCAAGACTAGATAAAGTATGTATCCAGTTTTTTTAACCTAAAATATTTTTCAAATATTTTAACTAAAAAGTAATAGTATATATTAAACTAAAAAATAATAAAGTAATAAAATGGACAAAGCAAAAATTTTGCTTTGAGCAATAAGTTTTATGATGTCATAATAGTGTAATACTACACTCATCATCATCATCATTAGCCATTTTGCGTCCACTGCTGAACATAGGCTTCCCGTAAATAATTCCATTGCATCCGATCTTGAGCAACTTGAATCCAGTTAGACTGGATGCGCTTTAAATCGTCCGACCACCTTGTTGGAGGACGTCCTCGACTACGATAAGCATCGTGTCTAGGCCTCCACTTTAAAATTTTCTTTGTCCATCTTCCATCTCTGACCCTAGCAACATGTCCTGCCCCAGTTCCATTTCAGGGTTGTAATTCTTTCTAAACTGCGTCCGTCACACCAGTTTTTCTCCTTACCATCTGACTCGAAACTCTAAATAACGAAAAAACTCGAAATACTACACTAGAGGAGTGCTTATTAGTTCTTTTAGACGAACTAGTTCAACAGAACTATTTCACAAAAATGAACTAGTTCAGTGAACTAGTTCGCGAAAGAACTATTTGTACGACCGACATCGAAATCCAACCCTAACAGAACTGGTTGCCAGATGTCTCGTCTCAATCATCACACAAGCTCGGCGCTAGCTGCCCGTTTTCTTTCAGTCTTTCACTAGTTCACTTAGTTCACCACCGTACAAGTAGTTCGGAACTATTTCTTTCGATCGTATGTTTAGGTTTAAATTATTATATGATTAGTTAGTTTTTATTTGCAATAAATTATTAAGATTTGTTTTTTATTAACCGTTTTAAATATAAATATGGTTCAAGTATGATTTATTTTTATTTTTACGTATATTTAAACTCATAGGTATTTATAGTTGGGTTATTTCTAAAAGAACCTTTACAAAAAAAAAACCTTTACAAAATTATATTTTATGTAAATGCCTCAATCATTTTAACCACAACTAAAATTTTTATTTCAAAATTACAGTACAAGAAACAACACAGCATGGCAACATCCAAGCCAATACATGAGCATAAGATCCGAACCATTATGACATTAAATAAGACTTAATGTTATTGTCACATTCATAAGAATTATGAATCTGTTATCTGAGGCTAATCGGCATTTTTTTAAACTAGTTAGTCCATCCATTCATAAAATAATAAATACTTATATGTTTCTAATTTATTCATTCATTATTTTCTCTCTTTAGAAGTTGAGACATAATTTATAATGCAAATCGTTCGCAGTGAACTAGTTCTATGAAAATTAATGAACTAGTTCAATTAGTTCAGTTGAAAGAATCGTTCATTGGAACTATTTCGATGGTGAACTACACATCCCTATACTACACCACTGAAGATATTATAATTTTTATTTAAAAAAGTTTCACCAATCTGTTGGATATGATCTAAAATTAAATTTTAGTTTTAGCAGAATTCTGTAATACAACTTTAAGAAGTTAGAAAGTTGAGTGAATTGGAGTGCATTACAAATCCTCATTGATTCATTCTGTTTGTGGCGCCACCTCTAAGGCAGAAGCTTAATTTACAGGCTCATAAATATAGGATAATAATAACTGTAATTTGCTGAAGATGCCGGATTATGGTATATTTTCTATATAGGATTTGTTCTCATCATTAATTAATTAATTTATTAGTTGTATTCGTTGTTTTTTTGAAGTTAAATCTCCTTCTGAATTTAATAGCTTGTGGTCTGACAATTGGAAAGATATTTATACCAGTTATTCCATGCTGAGTGTTTGGTATGGGACCATATACTACCTTGGTACATCGGTCTTCGAGGTTATTACTTGAACAAACAGATATCCGGGTTATATCCTCTTTTCTCAACTTTGCTCTAAAAAGATGGTGGAAAGTTTAAATCATGGATTAACGTGAGGCCACTCATTTAGGCCCATGCTTCTACTGAGTCTCCATTTGCGTCAGAATCTACATAGCCGCAGAGTAAACTGTGATTGTGACTAATAAAGTCTCACAGTACAAGCTGATTGGGTTGTGATTGAAAGTTAGTTGGGGGTGAAAATATAAAAGGCTGGTTTGGGGGCTTGTATACCGAGGTTATTGTGCATTTTTCGATCTCAGTGATTATTACCTTGTTTTGGTTATCTGTGTGCTATACACGAGCTGCACATCTGCTAGGATTGGTCCTAAACAGTAACATTAAGACCAACAAGCTCCTGAGTTTTCCATTATATGTACCAACAGAACAATGACACCAGTACAACTATCTAGAAAAAGCAAAAAAGTTTCTTTTTAAATATAGTCAGTACTACACAGAAGCTCCAGAAAATAGCAGAGTTTATTGTTGCTTAAATAAATAAAAATAAAGAACTTTATATATTTTAAAAACTTTTATATTTATATACTAACACACTAACACACACAGACTTTAGAGAATTCCATTTATACATTTGTGATACAAAGAACCATAGCGGCTGTAGCAAGTTCAAAAACAAAACATGAAACGCTAGTAAACAATGTTTTTGTTTGATAACTAGTTTTATTTAAGTTCCTTCTTATTGACCTGTGCCTTCTTTCATGCGAAATTTACGAAAATACTACTCTGCATGAAACTAATAATATTTTATAGAAATAACAGCTTACAAGATTATTGTAAAATTAAAAATCTAAAATTTTGTTGGATAATACGATAAACTAAATATTATAATAATAAAGTAGACACGTACACGATTTTCCACCTACAAATGAATTATAAATACATTTACAACACTGACAAATTACATAGTTAGGTACTTAATTGAGAGATATGTAGATTATTTATTATGTACATTACATACCTAATATTATTATACCGACATATTTATAAAATGTAACTAAAATAAAAAAACTAATAAAATAGTATTTAAATTGGAGGAATAAATATATTTTTTGATTATTACTAGAATACTACTACTACACCACTCGAGACTGTCAAATTCTATTTAAAGATGGCGTCACCAATCTCTTGAATGTGATCTAAAATAAAATCTACATCTTTCCTTGTTAAAGCAGAATTCTGTGATACAAATCTGAAGAAGTTAGGAAGTCCTTTGAGTGGTTGGTAGCCAAGCATTACAGATCCATGTTGAATCATTAAAGCTCGTATTTGTGGCGCCACCTACAAGACAGAAACCCAATTTAAAACTGTATAAATGCAGAACATTGACAATCACTGTACAATTAGATTAATTGACGGTAGATGTCGGGATATTGTATATTTTCTATATAGGGTGTGTTCTCATCATTAATTAATCATATTAATTGATTTCGTGCAGTCGTAAAACGTAGTTATAAAGAATAAGTAAATAAAAGAACTTTTTATTATATTTGTAATGTATATGTATAATACATCTCGCCAGAGTTTCACGCACAATTCATTTGAGAATATGACATTTTTATCAAATTGCTACTCTTATCTAATATCTTAATAATCTATCTGATCTATTTGGTATTCAAAATATGAATTAGGTATTTATATTAAATTGAAAAAAAAAACAGTTTAAAATATTAAATCATTATTTATTCGTAAATACAAGGTACATAGGAAGATAATTATGTCCATAAAAGCAGAATAAGAAAATTTAAAACCAAATCGTCGTGGTACCTGCAATAGGTCGTATGTCATTTTCATGTAATTTTTCAGGAAGGACAAAAATGCCTAAAGTACAAAAGAAAAGCAAATATACAAAAAATTATATAATGAAGAAACTCTTCAAGAAGCTTTACGGGAAATAATTAATGGCATGCCAAAGGCGACGACAACAGTTAAATATGGGATACCCAGAGCTACACTGCACTTTAGACTAAGTGAAAATTTTAAAAAGTGGCACATGGTACAAATACTATTTATTTACGATTTAGGTATGTTAGAAGAAACTGTATTAGAAAAATGGGTAGTAGATTGTCACAGAAAAGGGTTTCCGAAAAGAAAAGAGGACAACCAAGCTTCTGTTAAGCCATTTTTGGATCAGAAACCCCGACCAAATCCATTTAAAAATAATCTTCCTGGGGATCACTGGTATAAATCGTTTTTTAAGAAGACACCCTAATTTAACAAATAGAATTCCTGAAGCTGTAAACAATGCCAGTGGAAACGTGTCAGAAAATGATATCAGAAATTGGTTTTACAAGAATATTTAATGGAAAAGAACTATTTTGACATTCTTCATTCTTTAAGAATTCGAAATATTCTTAGTGACATTTTATCCAAATGTCACTAGAATTCTTGAACCTGCCGACGCGACGTCTCTAGTTTCAAGCCACTTAAAAAGATGTGGAAAAGAGTTGTGTTGAATTGGAAGAGAAAGAATCCATTTGAACAACTAAATAAGAGTAACTTTGTTACAATTTTAAAAGAAGCGGTAGATACTCTTAAACCATCGGCTACCTTAAGTGGTTTAAGAGTTTGTGGTCTTTGCAAAAGAGGTGTTCGGCAGGGCTGTGTGTTGTCTCCAACCTTGTTCAATGTCTACGCGAAAGAAGTTATTAAAAAAGCTCTTATGAACGAAATGGTCAAATGGTCACCCCATTTGCAATATCCGATATGCTGATGATACCGCGCTCATAGCAGAAAATATTGACGACCTACAGAGATTACTAAACAAAGTGGTAGAAGCAAGTGAAGAATTTGGTCTGTCACTGAATACAAAGAAGACCAAATTCATGATAATTACAAAGAAACGTATCAATAATATCAACTTACATGAAGGACAGAATCTCATTGAACGAGTACAAAATTACAATTACCTCGGAACAAATATTAACGAGTCAAACGAATACACCAGAGAAATAAGAATAAGAATAGAGAAAGCCCGCAGTGCCTTTAACAATATGAAACAAATGTTGTGTAGCCGTAACCTAAGCCTAAAGCTGAAAATACGAATGCTTAAATATTATGTTTTCTCGGTCCTGTTGTATGGGGTGGAGGCGTGGACACTAAATAAGCAATGTATGGGTAAGCTGGAGACATTTGAGATGTGAGCGTACCGAAGAATGTTAAAAATCTCCTGGAAGGATAAGATAACTTACCAAGTTGTATTAGATAGGATGAACAAACAAAAGGAGGTCGTATTGAGTGTTAAAATGAGGAAACTACAATACCTGGGACATATTACACGTGGGAATAAATATCAACTGTTACAACTAATTATGCAAGAAAAGATTGAAGGTAGGCGCAGCATAGGTAGGAGAAGAATGTCATGGTTGAGAAACCTCAGGGAGTGGTTTGCTTGCACTTCCATATAATTGGTCCGAGCGGCAGCCTCCAGGGTCAAAATTGCCATGATGATAGCCAACCTTCGTAGCGGAGATGGCACGTGAAGAAGAAGAAGAAGGTCTTTGCCCTTGGAACGCGGATAGTTTTGACTACAGCAAATGCCTAGGTAAAAAATATACCGTAGATAAATTTGGCGAAACTACAACTGAATCAAACAATTTGACCGATTTTTGCAACATATGTAATAAAGATCCTTTACAGTTCTTCAAAGAGGCCAGAAAAAATGGAAACTCTGATAACACTAGCACAAGTTTTAGGGTACTATTTAAACATCTATTTAACATTTTACATCCAAATAATCCAAATTATGAAGAAGGCGATAATCAAGAAATTGTAATAGATGAAATGTTTTTAGAAGATATGTCTGTAGTAGAGCAGCGATGTCTTTAACTTACGAGATAAAATCTGTACCTGTTGTTCTTTTGGAAGACGTTCCTTAAGAAAATACAAAAGTGGCACAAGGTTTAGCATTTTTCTCAGAAAATACTCAATAAACAATCACAGGATCCGCTGCCATTTTAACTTTTGATTCAGTTCCCTCCACTAGTCAAATCTCTATAAATAAGAGCAGTAACATGGACGATTGTTTGCCTTGGGCCAAAACTCCTGAACGTAAGGGAATACGTAATATCCAAAGATCTAGTTTTGTAATTTCTTCTTCATTTTATAAAAGAGAACTAGAGAAAAAGGAACGCGAAAAAAATGAAAATAAACATCTTTATTTCAGCAGAAACGTAGTATTTTAGAGGACTTAAAACTAAACTAGCTTTTAAATAAAGAAGATGATCAACAGCCCTATGAAAAAAATATGAAAATAGGTCAATTCCAAGGCAAATTTGAAATCTGTCAGTATTAGGATTTGATCCAGAAGTTCCAGAACTCTGCTGACCACCTAAAAATAATATTTTTATTAATAAGGCTATATGCTTTACATGTACTGTAATGTTTTCCTTGATTAGGTTTGGAGTTAAATTCCAAAAGTGTTCCAGAACATTTCACAAGGGATATCTTAAAAAATATGATTTATATAAAGAATATTTTATTTGTAAAACTTTTCTTAAACAACTCGTATAAATAATATTGTTTTTGTAAAATTTGTTTTTGAAAAATATATAAATAAATGACACTTTGTTGTACGTAAGTACTTACGTTTTAGTTTTGTTTTCAATTCTCAATCAATCATTTGATGTAAGAATTATGCCAATTACTGAGTGCCAATGATTGAGTACACTGCCAATTACTACATGCCAATAACTAGAATATAACTGCCAATAATTAGGAAATGTGTATTATATCTAAAATAACTTATTTTTGCATTATTTTCCTCAACATTTATAATAAAATGATATTTAATTTGTGTTGATGTTACCCATATTAGCAAATATAATGTTTAAACAACTCTTTTTCTTAAAGGGCCAATAACTGTGTGATTTACCCTACTTTTTCGTGTTTACCAAAAACTTTGACGGAAGGAAAATGACAATTAAATTTTCTTAAATTCTGTTTGTACGTGATTAAAATAAAGTAAAAAGTATTTAAGTAATTTTTTATTTGTATGGAAGGTTGGTGTAAGTCGTGGTAGTTCTGAGGCATTAACTGCTTTAATTATTGAAGGTGTTCATACTTCGATTTTTCAATAGGGCAAGGTCCTCTGTAACTGTATGCCACTCCGGCATACAGTTACAGCAGAAGAGTCCATTTGTGTACCTAATGAGGGGGTGGCCGTTAGATATTCTTCTTCTTAAAGTGCCCTCTCCTAAATGGAGTTTGGCTACTACAATTTTAAACTCTTCTCTATCTTCAGCTGTTCTTATTAGATGTTCAAAATTTAGCCCTGTCCATTGTCGGATAAACTTTCACTATAAGTTGGGCATATTGTTACTTATTATTTCTCAGTATGTGGCCTAGGTATTATGTTTTTCTTACTTTTACTGTGTTTAAAAAGTTCTCTTTCCTTGCCTATTCTATGCAGCACTTCTTCGTTTGAGGTATGCGATGTCCATGAAATTTTTGAGTATTCTCCGGTAGATCCACATTTCAAATGCTTCCAATTTATTTACGGTTGATGTTTTAAGGGTACACGTTTCAACTGCATATAGAAGAGTCGACCAGACGTAGCATTTTGATAAACGTAGTCGAATTTTCGAGTCGTATTCGAGAATCACCAAGCAGTTTTTTTATTTTTTCGAAGGATTTTCTGGCCTGTTCTATTTCTCGATCTTATTTCTAGGATCAGGATTTAGTCTGCTATCGATTCAACATCCCAGGTACTTAAATCTATTGACCTGTTCTAAAATGTGCCCATTTATTGTGCATAGGTTGGGTACGTTTTCGGTTTTTTTCGGATTGACATCACTTTGGTTTTTTTAATGTTTATTTTCATACCAAATTGCTCACAGTTCGAGTTGGTCTTGTCGATGAGTTGTTGTAGACCTAAGTCAAAATCCGCAATTAACACTGTATCATCGGCGTATCTGATACTGATGATATTTACGCCATTTACATTGACTCCATCCTTGGAATAATCCAATGCTTCTTTAAACAGAAACTTGCAGTAAAGATTAAACAACAGAGGCGACAGAACACATTCTGTCTAACTCCCTCCTATTTCTACTTCTGCGGATGTGGAACCTTCGATCCTAATTCTGGCGTTTTGGTTCCAGTACAAGTTTTTTAAGAATTTGATGTCTTTTCCATCTAAACCGACTTCTTGCAATCGTTCTAATAGTAAGTCGTGTCTTACTCTATCAAATGCTTTTTCGAAGTCTATAAAGCATATAAATATATCTTTCTGTTGGTCGTAGCATTTTTGGGCGAGAACTAGTAAACTGAACAGGGCTTCT